TGAGAATCAAAGACAATCCAATACATGTTTCAAGCATAATTAGAGAGGCATTCAAAGCAAAATAGCAAGAATTTGAATTATTTCCAAAACAGCTCCAAGAACACAATCAAGCATGATCAAGCAAATTCCAATTCCTTTCCAAAACAAGTCTTCAAACATGTTTGTCTTAACAAGGAAAGTCATTTATCAAGATCTGAAATTCAAGAGCCTATAAAAAGATTTTCAAAACATAAGCTAGAGGCGGGGTTTTTTTCTCACAACAAAATCATCAGAATAATAGCAGTACCAGATATAAAAAAAAGAGAGAAAAAGTTCATAACAATAACACACATATAGTATCATATTCATAGCAGTGAAGAGATATCAACGACAATCAAACATCGATTTTGGAATAAAGTAGCATCAAGGAAAGTCACACGCACACAAGTCACAATATCAACACCAACATCATCAACACATACAACGAACGCGACAATACCTTGAAGCATAAAGGTTGGAAGTCAGAACCCAAAACGTACCTCAAATCTATTTTTTAGGTAAATCTTCGAATGCTCTTCATTTTACTTTGCTTGAATCGTAGTATTTCCTATTGTGTTGCGAATTGCCAGTGGCGTTGAACCTTGTTGCGAAGTCGTTGACATTGAATCTGTTTGCGACAAGCCGAAGCGGAAGAGAGAGTTAGTCCGTTTGAGCTTCGAAAGATAATGATAGTGATTGGGCGAAAGTAAAGGGACAAAATCGTGGGACAGAGGGGTATGGAGATGGAGCCGAGGGTGAAAGAGATGTGGAAAAGGACGACCACGGAGATGGAGTTGTTCGAAAAAAAGGATTTAGGGTTTCTCATTTTAATCCTTTGCTCGTGAGGAGTTTCGATTGATGTTGGGTCGGTGGAGAGATGTTCGGCCCAACCTTGGTTTTTATATATTTTTTTTATGTTATGTTACTATGTTTGTTTTTAAGATTGGGCCATAGGCCCATGTTGTTTTTGTTTTTCCTTTTTTTATTTATAAAAATATTTTACTTATTTATTAGATTTATTTTACTTATTTAATTCATAAATTTGAATTAATTATAGGATTGTTAATTTTAATTATTTAGTTTTTTTTTTTGAAATTTTAAAGTTTCTGTCTGATTAATTACATTCTCTGTTTAGTTTTAATCAAGTTTTCTAACTAATGTTGGAGACATTTTTTATTGCTTATACGTCATTTGGTTCGACGAAGTTGAGATATAGATCCCTAACGATCCTTACTTGTTATGTCCCCTTAGGATATTCCTTATTTATCCCATTTTCAATTCTCATCGTTCGGCTTAAGATAGACTTTAGGTTGATGTTTCTTGCATGATAACAGTACCATGCATATTCCAAAGAAAATGATATCTCCTCCTGTTGACTGCCATGTCAATTTTAATTTTAGGTCCTTATTCTCATCCTAGCCTTAGGATCGGAGTCTCCGTACTCCCCCTAAGTTCCTGCTATAGACACTTTCTCATTTACCTCCCCTTCATCCTAGCCTTAGGATCAGGAGTCATCGTACTCCACGTAAATTTATGCCGTGGATACTTACTTACTTACCTACCTTTCAACTTAAATGTAGATTCGGAGTCGCCCCACTCCACGTAAGTATTTCACTATGAATACTTACTTCCCCCTGGAACCTTAACCACAATTACGAGTTCCTCACCCTCGTTGAGGAGAACTACGAATACTCTGATTCCATTCCCGTCAAGATACGTAGGCACAAGATGCGATTTCTTGGAGAGTATACTTAGGACTAACCCATTAGGTCTTCTTTCAACCTTTTAGCATATAGATAACAGATCCCAAATAACACAGATTAAACAAGACGTTCCTGTAGAGTACTACAAATGTTTAGGATTCTAACACCTTCCATAGGTATAACCAACCCTCGAACCCTAGATCTCCCTGCATTATGTTTATGATGCAAATTTAGGTTTTTCTTTCTTTAACCTTTTCTTCGGATAAATCAAAGACCGGTTGTGAATTCAAAGATTTGTGATTCAAGTTAGTTCAATAGCTTGATATTTGATTCTCACCTCAACATATTCATAAGCCAAACATGGCATGGAAGGCTAATGGATTCATTGATTCAAGAATGTTCAAATGACATCAAATTCTTAAACACTTATTTTGTTCCTAATTGAAGGAGTCAAGAAAGTCGTAGGGTTAAGAGGTGTGATTAAGAAGTTAGGGATCACTCAAGCATGTGTGAAAATATGTGATATTCAAAGTGCAATTCATTTATCTAATTATCAAGTGTATCATGATAGGATAAGAAAATTGACATATGTTTGCACTACATTATGGACATGATCGAGTCAAAGAATATTGTGTTAAAGAAAGTTGTTTTGGAAGACAATTCGACAAATGTGTTCACATACTTATCACCTAGGTCAAAATTCAAGCATTGTTTGGGCTTAATCATTTTTTTATAAAATTATTCAACCTTGGAAATACCAAGAAGGCGTTCCATGAATAAATTGACATCACCATCCTTTTTGTGTCAAGTTGGAGTTTGTAAAGTATGCCTAAAAAAACTCAATTTACACCACTTTGAGAGGACTTGACCACTACCTTGCATGTGAGGTGCTCAAGAGGATTCTCAAAGCGAGTGATTAGAATAGAACTTGCAATTTTGGCTCCAACCTCATGTGCAATGAAGTTAAGTTGGCGCACGACGCACGTGGGTGGACGCGTAAGGTGCATATCTCACTTTTATGTGACTTTTTAAAGCGTTTTACTATTAATTTTATAAGGAGAAGAAATACTTGAAAGAAAAACTTAAGTTTTGTTTGAGAGTTTCAGGGGAGGGGAGGGGGAAAAGGCTTTCGAAAAAAGATTTTAGAAAAATATAAAAAAAAATTTGACATTTTTTGAAAGAATGATTTTGTATAGAACGATAGAAAAAAGTTTATCAATACTATATTTTTAATTTTTAAAATACTATAACAACATAAAATATATTTGAAAATTTTACGTTGTTATAAATTCATGAACATTCAATGTCCACGTGTATGTGTTCCAAAATGATAAGAAAAATGGAATGGCGTAAATGCTAATAAATGTAAGGGAAATAGTCAAACATAGAAAGATTTACTCACATTCAAAGTCTTTATAAAGAGTTAAGAACATTAACTCAACAAAAGGACAAAGAGGATAAAGTGCAACATGGACAAATGTGGTGGTCTCAAGCATTATGTCACTTGTCTCCTCCATACACCCCTCGCCCATGTCACTGGCGACGGCTCTGGGACCGGGTCCGATGGCGTGGTCGTAGAGGCGCTAGTGGTGGCTCTTATGTGACACTTGAGCACATAGGCACGACGCATCGGAGCAATCAGACTACTCACAGTGTTATGAGACGGCACCGGTGGCTACTCGATGCGATGCTCCGGTGGCCTTCGGTCAGACTCACTATTGCTCTCGGTTTGGTCGATACATGTGTTCGAATTTTTGAATTTGAAGAGTGCGGAATGAAAATAGGCAATGCTTGGAAACAATGCAATTTTTAGTTAAAAAGTATTGTTTCATCAAGAGTTGCAACCTTGTGGAACAACACATACATTGTCTATAAATACCTCATTTAGAAATTCATAAATCACATTACAAACTGAATATTCTCTTGAACAAATTCCATATTTTTTTCACTTACAAATTGAATTTTCGTCGGTCTTACGCAAATTCGATATAAGACTGAATTATCATGAGTATTCCTACGTTCAAACTCTAAGACATATTTGATAGTGTTTGAAATTCTTTTAAGAAAAGTAATTTTGTTCACGATTCAGTCTTGAATCCATTCGACTTTACCGATATCTATAACATATGTAAGCCCTTCAAAACTCTCCAAAGTAATCATTTAATACAAATTTTGAATTCCCCAAATTAATTTTTTTTTTGGTGTTGTTATGAATAAATACAAACCCTTCAAAACCTTCCTACAAAAATCTTCTAATTCTTTCCACTTACTCCTTTATCTCTCCGAACTCTAAAAAAGAACCTTAGATAATTGGTAAAATTTATTTGGTTTATCTTTGGTTGTAATCTAAATTTTTAAACATTTCTTAATATTTCAAGATTATGTGATTCAAATATTAAAAAGATAAAGAGTTTGAGTCAAATTAAAAAGAAAATATAAGTTTATTTTATGACTTTGGAGATCTATTTTTTTATAATTATAATTCATTTATGTCTTTTTTTTTATTGAAAACTCTTGATATTGGATATTTTATAATCCAAATTTTTATCTTACTTTGGTATTATGTTTTTATTTGCACTTAAAAGATTATTGTCGATTGAGATTCTTTAATGTTGATGGGTATTTTGTTATTATTTGTCACACATATCTTATTGGTGTATCTAATGTATTGAATTTAAAATATATATATATATATATATATATATATATATATATATATATATATATATATATATATATATATATATATATATATATATATATATATATATATATATATGTTTTTAATCGATTTAATATTTTTCAAATATCATTAAATGCAAACCTAGTTGTATGAAAAAAATAATTTTAAAAATATTTTACAAAAATATTTTTAATATCACACAAAAAATATAAATTAAAATAAAAATAATATTGAATTTTAGAACCAACTCAAATATATTAGTTATATTAAGTAGGGTGTGTGGTTCAACATCCATTAGATGTCAAATTGACTGCAACTTTATAAATCTGCATTTTCTTAAAAAGTACACATTATTAGCAAGCAAGTAAAGGGACTTGTAAAAATCTTCAACCATCTACATCCTTCATCTTTTTCTTGTAGTTACAACTTCCTCCTTCACTTTCTATCATGAAAGTGTACAAAACCTAATCATAGATAGCAATTTATTGTGATAGATGGTAGCATTAAATTTCCTTAACCAACTTTTTATTTCAATCAATATATCCTTATCAGCAGCATCTCTTCACCATACAAGCTACTAGTACTAGTACTATAGCTTAATCCATGCCTTTCTCCACCATAGAATCTGCAAAAGTTAAAGAAATACATTAAAAAAAAATATATATTTTTGTCTGAGCCCAGGTTCGAACTGGGGACCTCTAGTGTGTGAGACTAGCGTGATAACCGACTACACCACCCAGACCTTGTTGTTGAATCTTCTTCAAAATATTTAATACAACCATTAGTTTACTTCAGCAACAAAAAGAAGTAAAATAGGGTAAGGTTCAGTTACCTGGATCGCATCGAATCTGGCACTTTCTGTCACACCTTGCCGTAAGTCTCGCTGTATGCATGTGACATGAATTTTAATTACATGAATAAAAAACATAGAAGAAGGAAATTAATTAAGTAAAATAAGAGGTTGAGAAGAGTGACAAACAGTCTCTTGAAACACATGCGGTGGAGCAAGCATCTAAGCAATCAGAAGCATCTGGAACAACGTTATCCATTTGAGAAAATACTATAAGAAATAAAAGCATGATAGAAACCACTGAATTCTTCTTCTTCATCATCATTTTCACACCTTTACTTTATTTCTTGATGAAAATATATAGGTGTCTTTGTAGGTATTTATTGATTGTTGTTTTGGAAAATGACCATAATGATGAAGGAAACTACGAAAATGCCAAGTTAGGATTAATGCATAGCACATGTACACCTGTGCGCCTTTAACTACGTATATGGCCTTCTATCTACCCATAAGCCGCCTATGTTGAATTGCACATTTAAGGCTCTTCTAGTTTCAACCAATTTTTTTGAAAGTTCACTTATTTCTCTCAAAAGGATGCAAATTCAACACTTATACGCATATCATTGATGTAATCTTAAGTTGATTGCTATCAAGCATCACTAAACTAATTAGACAAAATTCACTTGAGCAAAACTTTGCAAACTCAATTAATTAACCTTGCCTTGTCAAAAATAGAGAACAAGTTACTTGGACACAAACAAGTCATCCAAATGAACAATTGACTATTTGTCTCATTAAAATCATTGTTAAGTTTTGAAGATGCATGTCCATAATAATATACAATAATTTAATGCGATATTGATTTTTTATTTTGATAAATTGAACATTACTTCCACGTTTTGATTTTTCATGACGAAATATATCATATATATTTGGAATGTGAGTATCATGTTCAATGATAAATAAACTTACCTCCTCGAATAAAGGTTCTCATCTATATTTTTTAGAGTTTACAATTGTTTCTTTGTAATGTTAACTAAGTTCATAGCATTTATGATGTCTAAATCTTTTTTTTCGATACTTGTTCTAATCATTTTGAAATATCAAAGACATTTCATCAAATGGAAAGTGTGTGCAATATTCAAATTATCCATTAAAAATATAAGATAATTTGCTTCGCCTCTTGCTTCTTTAGCGGATACATCTTTTTTCAACATTTCAAGAACATTAGTAAAAGAACTATACATTAATATGAAATTCACCAAAGTAGTATAATGACAATTTCAACGAGTATCAACAGATCACTTGAGACTAGTTTTTTATTCTAACATTTTTCATTAATAATTTCTCCATGTTCCAATATATCACAAACCTTAGTCATTTGTCTTTCATGCAACATGTCACTCCTTTTGCAAGATCCCCTAACAAAATTTATTAATGTGGATATTAAGTTAAAAAGAGAGCAAACTTGAAGGTGATCTTTAGCAGTAACATCTAATGTAAGTTGTAATTGATGAGTAAACGAATGTACATAAAATGCGCATGGACTTTCCCTCAATATTAAACTCTTAAGACAAGAAATACTACCTTGCATGTTGCTAGCACCATCATGTTGAGAATGTGATTCGTTGTGTCGAAGCAAGTGTAGCTCAACAGGAACAAGGATGTGCCGAAATTAGCCTAGTGTAATGTGTGTCGAGTTGTGTTAGATGTCGAAGTGTCGAAGCATGTTGCTTGATACTGAATTTCGACTTAGACCAAAATAGAAACTTTGTGCTTATGTAATTTTGGGCTTTGACTTAGGGAGCAATCTAACCTAAAGCTATAAATAGAGGGAGTAACCCATTTTCTTGTAATAACTCGAATTCACAGAATTTTACAGTTGCAAAGTGAATAAGTTTTTTCCACAATTTATGGGCAGAGAGTTACTCTGCAGAAATCACCACCTTTTCTTCCCTAATTTTTTGTCAAACTCTAATCTTCTTTCTTATTCAAATTTCTTTCTTCTTCTTCCATTAACAATTGCTTCGCAGAATCATTCTTACAATCAACGTGTGATTGATTCACTAAAGTGAAAATTGAAGAACAAAGGATTCAATCGATTTATTGAATCTTGTTCATCAAGATTGGTTCAGAATTACTCAAAATTTTGGGTTAATTCCAACATCTGGTATATAGAGCTCCGGTTGTGATTCGTGGACAAGATGGCGATGAATCATCTGAACGAACATTTTTCGACAACTTTCCCAATTCTGAAGGGTCAGAATTATGAGAATTGGTGCAAGCAGATGAATGTGGTTTTTTTATTATCAAGATCTTTGGGATCTTGTGAAGGAAGGAGTAACACTGCTTGCAGAAAACACGTCGGATCAAGAAAAGGTTGCATACAAAGAATTGAAGAATAAAGACTATAAAGCTCTCTTTATAATTCATCAATGTGTTTATTCAAACAATTTCGAAAAGGTCAGTAATGTAGAATCAGTAAAAGAAGCATGGGAAATCTTGGAGAAATCGTTTGGATGTGCAGAAAAGGTGAAAGAGGTGAGATTACAAACTCACAAAAGGACGTATGAATTGCTTTAGATGGAAGAAAGTGAAAGCATAACTGATTTCTTCACTAGAGTTACTAAATTGGTGAATCAAATCAAGGTATGTGGAGAAGTGTTGACATCAAGATTAGTTGTTGCAAAGATCTTGAGGTCATTGGCTCTAAAGTTCGACCACGTGGTAAAAGCCATAGAAGAGTCGAAAGATTTGTCAACATTGACAAAGGAAGAGCTTCAAGGGTCTCTTGAATCTCATAAACAAACAATGGTTGGAAGAGCTGCAGGCAAGTCAAAGAATAATATTGCTTTGCAGGCATAATCAACAAAAGAAAAGAAAGGCAAAGGAAGTTGGAATGGCAACAAAGGCAGATGAGGCTACAACAATTCGACTGGTCGAAATCAGCAAGAAGCAAACTGGTCAAATTAGAGAAAATCTTGGAACCAAGGTAACCAAAGAGGTGGTGCTACAGGTAGAGGAAGATGTGGTGGTCAAAATCCTGAAAAAAGTCACATTCATTGTTGCAATTGTCAGAAATATGGTCACTATTCTAGTGGTTGTCCTAAAAAGAAGAAGAATCGAGAAATTTATGCAAAGCTGAAAAAACATGAAGAAGAAGAGATGTTGTTGATGGTTACAACGAGAGATGAAGAGAGATTCAAAGACCAGTGGTACTTGGACTCAGGATGTTCATCACACATTGTTTGGAAGGAAATACTGGTTTGCCAACATAAAGCCTTCAATGAAGAACATGGTGAAATTTGAAAATGCCAATACTCTAGTAGCTGAAGGTATTGTCGATGTTTTCATTATGAGGAAAGATGGCAAAAGGTCAGTAATTTCCAATATGTTATATATACCGGGCATGAAGAGCAATTTGCTCAGTAAAGGGCAGTTGGTCGAAAAGAACTACTAGGTGTCGATTGAAGACAAGATGATGAGAGTTCTCGACTCAAATGGAAGGTTGATTTTGAAGGCTCCAATGTCTTAGAATAGAACCTTCAAGATTGAGCTTAATATGACAGAGCATAAGTGCCTTGCAACTAAAGCCAACAAAGATGAATGGATATGACATTATAGACTTGGCTATCTCAATTTCAAAGATATCAGAGATTTGAAGAAAAGAAATATGGTTTCAGGATTACCAGAATTCAACATTCCAAGTGAAGTGTGTGATGAATGTGTGTAGGCGAAGCAACACAAGAACAACTTCGGCAAGGATACAGGAAGCAGGTCAAAGACAATTCTTCAAGTTATATACTCTAATCTATGTGGTCCTATCCAGGTGGATTTGATTGGAGGTAACCGATATTTATCACTTTCATAGATGAGTTTAGTCGAAAATTATGGACTTGCCTAATAAAGAAGAAAAGTGAAGTGATCGAGGTATTTTCCAAATTTAAATCTATGGTCGAAAGACAAAGTGGTCGAAAGATAAATATTCTAAGGACTAATAGTGGTGGAGAGTATGTGTCAAAAGATTTTGATGCATTATGTGAGAAAGAAGGGGTTGTGTATAAGGTGGTTCCACTCTAAACTCCATAGCACAATGTAACAGCAGAAAGGAAGAACAGAACCATCATGAATATGGTGAAAAGCATGTTGGAAGGAAAGCATCTATCCAAAGAATTATGAGGAGAAGTTATGTCGGCTGCAACATACATCTTGAACATATGTTCGACGAAAAGGCTAGAAGGAATTACACCAGAAGAATGTTGGTCTGGTGTTAAGCCTAGCCTAAGTCATTTGAAGGTGTTTGGATCTATAGCACATAGACATGTGCCAGATCAGTTGAGAAGAAAAATTAATGACAAGTCGAGTCAAATGATCTTGATAGGATATCATTCGACTGGAGTATACAAGTTATTTGACCCATTGAACCAACAAGTAGTGATCAGCAGGGATGTGATCATAAATGAACTTAAAGAATAAGATTGGACTGAGAATGTTAAGAAGGATTCAGTGAGAATCTTATGTGAAGAGCCATCTAGTGAAGTCGAAAGAGAAGTTCGACAAGAATAAGTCAAAGGTGAAGCAGACCTAAGCAACCCTCAACGAATAAGACACATGCTTGTATGGTTGCAAGAATGTGTGATTATATCAGATGATATGGTCAATAAAGAAGGTAAGTTGGTAACCTACTCTTTCTACACAAATGTCGAACTAGTTAATGCAGCTGAGGCATTGAAAGATTTAAAGTGAAAGAAAGCAATGAATGAGGAACTATAGTCCATCGAAGTCAACAACACTTGGTCACTTGTCAAATTGCCTCAAGGCAAGAAGGCAATCGATATGAAGTGGGTATACAAGATGAAGCTGAATCCCAAAGGCGAAGTAACTCGACACAAGGCAAGACTTGTAGCAAAAGGATTTCTTTAGAAAGAAGGAATCGACTTGGACGAATTTTTTACAGCCGTTGCTAGGATCGAAACAATTAGGTTGGTTGTTAGTCTAGAAAACATGAACAACTAGTAGGTATGTCAAATGGATGTGAAATGTGCATTCTTGAATGACCCATTACATGAAGAAGTTTATGTTGCACAACCAGCCAGGTTTTTAAAACAAGGCGAAGAAAGTAAGGTATACAGGCTGCATAAAGCCCTGTATGGACTTAAGCAAGCTCCAAAAGCTTGGAATAAGAAGATAAATAGATTCTAAGGGAGAAAGAATTTGTGAAATGCACAAATGATCATGGAGTATATGTAAGAAGAAGAAATAGTGAATTTCTTATACTATGTCTCTATGTCGATGACCTGTTGATAACAGGAAGTTGCAAGAAGG